TACAACAAATCGTATCTCTCACTCATACTCGCTTTTCGCCAGAACGAAACATCTCTAATACGATTTGATATAATTGATTGCTCTTGGATTCGTCGCTAAATTCCAAATCTCCTGTTAGAGATTCTCATTCCGTCATTCGCAGATTCGCGCACTTGAATCGCTCGCGACCTAAAACATTATGTATTCTCAAATCAGTTGGAACTCGGAAACGGTAAAATACGGAATGAGAAATAAAAGTTGGGTGCAGGTAAATCAAGGAAAATAATACTTCGGTCCCCGAGCAAACCACATTTTTTCCGCCACACAGATCCGCCATCTCTATCTTTTATTGTACCGCTCAAGGTATATTCACATACAAGCGTCAAGCAGCGACCAACCAGCATAGCAATATGGCCAGTGGCGCTAGAGTCCTAGATATCAGAGAAGCGCAACCGATGTTCCGCGTCCTGATTAGCTGACTGTCAGCCAATCACGACATTCATTCATTGGTATTAAAAATGGCTGACTAATAGACGATTGGTGGATTTCATATTTCGTCTGCAAACGACGCCATTTTTATTACTTTTCTTAGTAATTTTGCGATACTGACTTAAGCCGGTTGCGCTTCTCTGATATCTAGAACTCTAAGTGGCGCCAGTGGCGAAGAAAATATTTTGTACACCACTGCTCATTGGTTGCTACTTCCGCTGCTTGGCGGTTGACGGTTACATGTAAATGCACCTTTAGCACAGTGGCGCCCTGGCGTCTACAACTATTTTAGAAATGCTAGAATTCTGTAGTGTGCCACGTGCGCCCTCTAGCGCGTTAAGGTACACTCACATGCAAGCGTCAAGCAGCGGAAATAAATGGAAGCACATGTAATGTATTTTGTAGAGATCATATAATCAGAATTTGGCCACAGTATACAGTAGCGCAACTCTATTCATTATGTGAAGCCAAAATCGTAACGCGCATGCGCAAGTTGAGACATTACATACGGTAACGCCATCTGAACTTTTCTCTCACTTAAGGTTGGATTATACTGGCCGTAATCTGTTAACTTATGCTGTAATCTGTAAAAATTGACCAATTATAATCGATTATTCCCCTCTCATTCGACTGTGATTGGTCAATTTTTACAGATTACGGCATAAGTTAACAGTTTACGGCCAGTATAAATCAACCTTTTATTCTTTGTGTTTTCGTTTTCGGTCTTTTTCTTAACCGTTGAAGTGTTTGTGTAGCAATTGGTGGTAACGGCAGTATTAAGTTCGTATGCTTTTATTCGTCAGTGATGTCCTGTAAATTGTTGTAGATATTGACTAAACAAAATACCTTTTTAAAAAAAAGGAAAAAAAGGCGCCAAGTGTGTTAGCCTCACAAAATAAAATGAAATCTTTTTAAATTGCGCCAATTATGAAAGGAATATATTTTCTTGACACATATATAACATACACTTTATTTCAAAAAGTAAAAGTACAAAAAACTTGGCGCTGCTAGACCTCAAAATATACAATAATAAGATGGTTATTAAATAATTCCGAATATGAAAAATAATAAGAAATTAATAGAAAAAGAAATAAGGACTCGTTATATAAAAATAAACAATATGAAGAGTCAAGGGCGATATAAAAAAAAATAATAAGGTCTCTCTCTCTCTCTCTCTCTCTCTCTCTCTCTCTAGCAGCGCCAAGTTTTTTGTACTTTTACTTTTTGAAATAAAGTATGTTATATATGTGTCAAGAAAATATATTCCTTTCATAATTGGCGCAATTTAAAAAGATTTCATTTTATTTTGTGAGGCTAACACACTTGGCGCCTTTTTTTCCTTTTTTTTAAAAAGGTAATTTTGTTGAGGTATCACGCATTTTTTGTAATGTTAAATATTTCTTATAAATCTGTATATAAAATATTAATAAAAAAAAACATTATAATAAAATATAATAATAGAGCTCTAATATAATAATAGAGCTCACTGTACGTGCCTTTGGCCTTAAAATAAAAGGAAACAATATTTAAATATTAAATCTTATAAGACCGTGAGAAACACAACCAATAAAATGCCTTTAACGATCGAATTGTATCTTAGGTACTAATTATAATTCCGTGAGAATTTATATAAAACTAGCATCAAAACTTTCCTCCTCTCCTTCTATGTTGATTAGCGAAATTAGAAATTGCACACCTGTAGCTTTAGCAATTCTTTTCAGATCAGCTTTTTTGCAACGAGAAGTCTAGTCATGCGATTTTCGCGTTCGTTATCCTCTTCGGCATTGCTTGAGAGGCGACAGTACAGTTCAAAGCATAGCCTCGAACACTTTTTCCGTGAACTTTCAAGACATTGACTGCTTTTGACTAACAGGATACAAAAATCCTCCTTTGTTATCGTTGATTTTTATCTATCTAATGTCATTACGTTGACAGCTAATCGATATAAAATAAAATATGCTAGCAAGCGCCGTCTGCTATTTAAAACGTGAAACGGACAACATTTTTTCAACAAAACGCCGTCTGTGTTTAAAACGTGAAACGGACAACATTTCCGATGTTGACATTTCATCTTCACATCGAGATATCTTCCTTCGTAGGGTACGTAGACAATAAAAACATATTTATAATATAATTTAAACAATAAAACTAAATTAAGAATATTTAAAAATTGATAAATTCAGCCATTTATTGTGAGATCCGGTAATCTCGGGTACACGGAACTCATCGACTTGCGTAAAGATACACGTGCGGTCTCGCGCTTCGCGTTCACTTGGCGCGAGACATTACCGTGTCTCTTGATAGCGAAGTGAAAAAAAGTAAAGTGAAGTGGATTATTGTGAAGTGAAGTGCAGTGAAGTAAAATAAAGTGAAGTCAAGTGATATTTATCTATACATAAGCATGTTTAAAATCGCATATTATCGATTTTGTATGTAAACTGCGTATAGATTTTATAATAAACAATTTCTTAATTTTTCTATATGTTTTCTTTTTTTCTTTCTAGACCATAGATTGAGTATAATTACAGCATACTGTAATTATACTTAATCTATGGTCTATATGATCATAATCTAGTAAAAGAAACTTAAAAAATAAAAAAATGCGTATATAGATACATTATAAACTTTTTATCATAAAAATAAAGTTCATCATGTTCTGTAATTATAAATTTGTGTATTCCCTCTTTATATGTAAATATACATACAAACATGACACACACACATACACATATATGTAAATGTATATATACATTTATAAATTACAATATATTAAATTAATTAAAAAATATTTTTAACTCAATTCACAATTTAATTACGGCTGATGATGACTCTGTAAAGTTGAAATATTCCGTATATCAGTGTTATATTATTATAATAAATTTATATATACAT